CCCTGAATCCACATTACCTAGAGCATTGTAGCCAGAGCCCTTTGGCATTCAACGTTTTCTACAATCTACTGCTTCAAGGTTTGATCTCATTACTTTATCATATGAATGCTGTGCTTCTCACAAACAGGTGTATGCATTAACCTTAAAAACATGCGATTAATAGTCCCAACCCCATGAAAATAGAATATTAATATTTCATTTAAATTAGGAAAATATCCATAACCCTACCTGCCTGGCTCATCCAACATTGAATGGAAAACTCCATCAGAGCAGTGTCCTCCCTTCCTTATAAGCCGTAGGTTTGAGTAAACTGACCCTAATCCTCATTTTCTCCGTCTTTAATATCTACATCACCCCCTTCCCAACTGCTGACCCCTTTTGATTTCTCCTTGTTCTCTGGGACTCCTTTGATGCCTTCTGGAATTCTTGTCTAGCAGTTTCAAGAGTACATTACGGAGGGAGGCAGTGAGGTGTACTGGAAGGGGCAGAGGACTTGGCATCAGAAGGTCTTGTGGATTTTTGTTCCAGCTTCTCAACTGACCGTGACTGTGGGTGAGTCTTCCGACTTGGTTGCCTCATAAGTAAAAGGGCAATAAACACACTAGCCATTCGTATCTCACCGAGTTGCTGAGAGGCGCAAACAAGACAAAACCCCTGAAAAAGCTTTGTAATAGGAAGGAACTACATGCATGTCAGCTGTTAGCTTCTGTAACTAGAACGGGAGCTTCCTGAGAACCATTTCTTCCTCAACCTTGCGCTCCCAGGGCACAGACACAATACATAACACATAGAAGCCCTTGAATAAATACCACGCAAACCTGTCCATCAGCTCGTTCAAGGAAGCTGGCTATAATCGTGACAAGCATGAAAGCAGTGAGATAACTATGATCATCTTCCCAGCAAACTTTCAATGCGCTTTTGGACAATAGAAATGGTGTTGATGTTTTGGGAGAGACACAGATAGCTAAAATAGGCTTAGACATATTCTGAGAAAACAAAAGTTCCCGTGGTTCTCTGTGAATCCAGGACACTGGGATTTTCATGTTTAGAGTTCATGTTACATTATGAGTAATGGTGGAAGGCTGGACTGAAATTTGGGGGCCAGAGCCCACTGATAAAGCCTGTTTTATGGTTCACTGCTGATAAGAGGATGCATTTCCAGCCCATGTTGGGCATACAAGGCCATGGGCTTTTTGCCTTCTGGAAGCATGGGGGTAGCTTCACATACCCATTGTCCCTGTAATCATTAATGCTCACAGCTCAACCTGAGCCAACCCCCATGTATCAGCTAATGAGGGAAAAAGCCAGGTTAGAATCTGGAAGGAGAAGGGAATTCGGAGAAGGGGAGATACCAGCTTGGAAAGGTTCATGTCTCTCAGTCCTCTCATGACAGTGCTTAGCTCACTGTCTTCTGGTCTGGCTCTTTTTTGAGCTCCAAGTGTCCTCAAAACAGATAGAATATTTCTCAACCCAAAGTCATAATGAACCTAAAATTGGGAAAGAAAAAAAAAAAAAGGTTGTTTCATTGAACAATCCTAAATGTAGACTCACACCGTATACACACAGGTAGATATTCTGATATGTACACAGTGCTGTTCCGAGGGGCTGAGCTGCAAAGTTCTATTAGCTCCAGTCTCTCACCTTTCCTTTGATTGCAAAATGACCATTCCATTGGGAAGTTCACACTTTATTTTTTTTAAGATTTTATTTATTTATTTGAGAGAGAGAGAGAGTGGGCAAGCACGAGCAGGGGGAAGAGCAGAGGGAGTGGGAGAGGGAGAAGCAGACTCCCTGCTGAGTAGGAAACCCGACAAGGGGCTCTATCCCAGGATCCCTGGATCATGACCTGAGCTGAAGGCAGATGCTTAACCATCTGAGCCACCCAGGTGCCCCGTGGGAAGTTCACACTTTAAATATACTTTGAGAATAATACAGTGTGATACCGCCCATACAGCAGATTTAAATGAGTAACCAACAGGTTACACACTCTGTGATTCCATTTCCGTAACATTCTTGGAATAACAGAATTATAGAGAAGGAGGAAAGATAGGGGTTGCAAGGGGTTAGGGATTTGGAAGAGAGGTGGGTGTGACTATGTAGGGGTAGCATGAGGAAACCCTGCAGTGATAGAAGTCCTGTATGTTGATTGTGGTGGAGGTTACATGAATCTGCATATGTGACATAACTACATAGTACTACACACACACAAACACACACACAAAGTGCGTGTATAGCTGACAAGCTCTTAATAAACTCTGTGAATTGTACTGATGTGGGTTTTCTGGTCTGTTATTTGTTATTGTACTATAGTTACAAAATGTCAACATTGGGACGCCCGGGTGGCTAAGTTGGTTAAGCGTCTGCCTTCGGCTCAGGTCATGATCTCAGGGTCCTGGGATCGAGTCCCACATCGGGCTCCTTGCTCAGCAGGGGAGTCTGCTTCTCTCTCTCCCTCTGCCACTCCCACTTGTTTTCTCTCTCTCTCTCTCTCTCTCTCATTCAAATAAATAAATAAAATCTTTAAAAGAAAAAAAGTCAACATTGCAGGAAACATGGTATACAGGACCTCCTGTACATTTCTTTGCAACCTCATTGAGACTCCATAATAATTTCAAACTTAAAAAAGGTTTTAAAAATACATTATATTTATTATAAATATATTTTACAATTATAAATATATTTTTATTTAAAATTATATATTTAGAATTATAAATATCTTTTAGAAAAGAGTTGAGACTTTTTTAAAACTCACTGATTAACATTTATCAAAGTAAAATTGCCAAGTAAAAAATCAAGTTCTACAGCTGGGGGAAAAATAAGATTTACAGTTACCTGTTTGGTAAGTTGCTCTTCACAGAGTTTGTAAAGAACATAAAACTTCTGAGCCAAGATAACATTTTCAAGAAAACCACAGCTTGCAAGTTTAACTCGCATAATGATCTGAAAATTAAGATTGTGAGATTTTTTTCAATAACGTTAGTGAAAAACAGGTAAGGAACATAAATTATATTATGTTTTTAAATCCTGGTGCCTACCTGTCTATCAGGAACCATCATAGCAACAGTTCTAAACTGAATTTTTAAGTTTTCTGGTAGTTCCTGGCGCCCAGCATATCCAGGGTTCTAAAAATTAAAATTGTTTTAAATTATTGATATAATTTTCATTTCATGAATACAAATACATTCAAATTCCCAGTTCATATTCTAAGGTGGTACTGAAAAACATTAAATTCGTAAAACATCCCTCCTTTCTCAAAAATATGTATTGGACCATCCATATTTTTTAAGGTCATATCACTCCCTCCTACATATTTCCATTTTCATTATACTAACAAAGTGACACACACACACACACACACACACACACAGCACTTTTTGTAGCAAAAATTAAGCATCCATGTATCTGTTGGTTAAGGTAATAGAAAAGAAAGATGCATAAATACCAGGATCATTATGGTCTAAAATAGGTTATTGAAAGAGGAAGAAAATTCAGGATTTTATACTGATCGTTACTTGGGTAATTCTTTGTTTTATCTCTTCCATTATTCTCTGCAGTCAGAATGATAGACTTCTGTGGCTGACCATTAAAAAAGAACCCACAGGGGTGAGGGGAAATAAAGATGGGAATGATGAGAAAAATAGTAAAAAGGACAAAAGTAGAAGTGGAAAGGAAGCTAAGGACTCACAAGTAGCAATAGGTTGAGGTTAGGCAAGACCCAAAAGCTCCAAGGGAGAGGTGAGGGGTTCAAAGACTAGTAAGGCAAAGAGGGGTCAGTTATTTTTGGAAACTTTCAGTCCCTGAGCATTTCTTGGGCACTGTCCACAGGCCAGATACCTTGCTCAGTGCTGGGAATACAGAGGTGGCTGGTTGCCCTTCATTGCTCCTTCTTTTCTCTTTTCTCAGTCACAGGACCCCAGTTGCAAACTGGGTGTATCACCACCCAGATTAAAAACCACATTTCCCAGCCTGCCTTGCAGCTGGTATGATTAAATTTGACACCATGAGATGCAAAGGGGCACACAGTGTCTTTGATGCACTTTGGCTGCAGCAAAACAGATGCTTCTATAGCATGTTGGGTCATAAGGTAAATTGAAGATGGAAACCATGATGGTGTAGAAACACAGGAGGATCGTAAGAGAAGAAATCTGTATGTGTTAAGACACTATTTTTCATGTCTCAGTTATTTACAGCCTAATGCAATATCTAATTGATATTTCCAAAATTATTCTTAATCCAAGGAGACTGTTACTCTTCTTTTAAGTTGTTCTACACCACAGTATCACACAATAAATTCATGATCACTTCTGGATTATTATTATTTACCCCCAACTGTTTTGCTTAGGTTTGTTTACAAAAAAAAGCTTGTCAGAAAACTTCCTGATTTTGCTTTCTATAATTTATCTTTGTCCACTGAGACACATAAAATTCAGATTACGTTGTGTTATCTTGCATCATAGAGATTTAACTATATAGAGAATATATAAAAACATGTGACATGAGAGAGAGATAAATCTTTGAGGTTTTAAGTCATTGAGATTTGGGGATTGTTATTGTAGCTAGCCTATTGGATACAATATGGAAAACATTTAGCCCCCCACCTTACACATAACAAGTGCTCACTAAACAGTCCCTAGTATTATCATTAACCTATTACTATTTTATCTTCTCTCTAGGCTATTTTTACTACTCAAAAAAATCATATGATGAGAGAGAATCACTCATGACCTCTGAATAGTCTGTCTTTTACTGACTAATATATGCTTTGTTTTATTTAAGTCTATAGCAATTAAACCAATCACATTGCATTTAAAGACCAAGTTCTCACCATTGTTAGGAAGATCCCAAATTCTGGATTCAAATCAACACAATCACCATCAGAAAAAATGAACTGTTTTTTTCTCTCTTTTCTCGCTGTCAAAACAATATAAATCTGTTGGGCTGCCACTGATAATACAGGCAATTCAATTCTGTTAAACTCATCAAAACAGCCCCAAGAACCCGACTGTGCAAGACCTGGCAGGAAAAACAGTTAATTTGAAAAGTTTTACTTTGTAATATACCTGCTACCAAGAAGAAGAATCATTTCTCTAAAGTGCTCTCAAACAATTATATATTGAAATACAGCTTATATAAAGTGTCAAATCTGGCTGTTTGTAAAGACGTATCTAATTCCAGTGACATCGAGAGGTTTAAGTATTTGTACATCATCCTGGAAATAATGAAAATAGTGCACTGCCAAAATCAAAGTATAGACACGTCATTACACCCAGTGATGCCAGACGATGATAAATTTTGATTCAGTTTGGAAGCACTGCTTCCAGTGGGAATGGGGGCTGAAAGAGCCATAATGGTTGGGGAAACTGACATAATGAAACTGACAAAAATACGTGGGTCAGATCACCCTGTTTCTTTCCTGTTGCAATGAAAGACATGTGGGGATGCTAGGTGAGACAGAAAATGGTCAAAGGCATTTTTATTCCTTACAAACTTGATACGAAGAGAAACTCCAGTAATTATGAAGAACATTGCTACTGTCTTATTTCTAAGTATGAAAACCTTCATTATCTTCAGCTACATGAAATGTTCTTCTTCCTTTTATGATTGCTGCCCCCCCCCTCCCCGCCCCCCGTTTTTCTTTCCTTTCCTTTGGGAATTTCCATTATACAGATTTTGGAACTTTTGTATCTATCCCTGTGACCCTCAGGCTTTTCTGTCAAACTTCCCATTTCTCTCGACAATGTATTTAGTCTCTTGGCTCGATCATTTAACTCAAAAGAGGTTTTTAATCCAGTATTTATTTATTATTCCAATTGTTATTTCTTTCATGGCAGCCAGTTTTTTTTCGATCGGTTGTATGTTATGAATTCTTGAATCCCCGTGAAGCTACTGATTTTATTTACTCTTTTCTCCTGTTTCCTCTATTAATCCGTTTAGTGATCAGTAGGTCTCTTAGCTGTTTGGGGTGCCTTCTGAATTTCTTCAAATATTTTTTTGAGACTTTGTTATCTCTGTATATGTGCATATTGCCTCATCCCATTTACCAATTCCTGTTTGCAGGATGCATGCCTGCCCCTGGCGATTTGGGGGAAGGAACGGGAGACGCAGGAGAGCTTCCCCTCGGGGTCTGGAGCTTTACCTTCTGACCTGGTGCACTGCTTGCCTCCAGGCACAAGCCTCTACCAGAGGTTTATCTTTGACAGGACTTCCACTTCTGAAAGCTGAGTTACAACTTTTGTACAGAGGAAAAATACTGGACACAGCCACTTCCTTTTCTTTTTCTCTGCCATCTGTAATCATTTTGTCAGTCTGGGATTTACCTTGTGCCCTAGTCTGCTGCTCTCACCCATCCCCAACCTTCAGGCTAGGAGTCATCTACAGAAGAATCCTTCTCTCTGATTAAGGAAGTGATTTTCAGGGTTCAAAAATGGTTTAAGAGGCAATTATAAAGAATAATTTAATGAATACCCATGCACCTACCTATCAAACCTTAACAATTTGCTTCAGATTTCATTCTAAAGAATAAAATATTAGAACTGCAGTTCAAATCCGCCTATGTTCTCTGGGATCCACACTCCCTCCTTCTCCAGAGGTAACCTGTATCCTGAATTCGATGCCAGGGGTTCTAGGCATGCTTTAAACATGTATTCATGAACACTGTATATTGCATGTATTCATGAACACTGTATATTTTGCTTATTCAAGATTTGCATGTGTGTATCTATCTATAAAACACTGTATATATACTCCTGAAATTTGATTTATTTGCTCAACATTCTTTTTCTGAGATTTATCTAAGCTGATACACATAGATCTAATTCACTATCTTAAAAGACTATACTGTACAGTATTCCATTGCCTAAATATACCAGTTTAAAAAATCATTCTACTTTCAATGGATATTTGGGTTGCTCCTAATAATTTGCTATAACAATGTATCGGCTCATGTCTTCTTAAAACTTGTGTGAGGAGTGGAAATGTTGGGTCAAAAGAGAGTATCTTCAGAACATTGACCACCTGTTGCCAGGCTGTTCTCAGAAGCAGCTCCACCAATTTACACACAGGTAAGAAGTATTAACAGTTGTAATTTCTACACGTCCTTACCAACAGTGGTTTTGCCAGACTTTTCCATTTTTGCCAATCTGGCGGGAGTGAGACTTGTATCTCACTACTGTTTTATTTTGGGTTTCTTAATGATTGGAAGAAAATCTTTTTTAATGCTGGATATTAATCTTTTGTCAGCTATACATGTTAAAATATCTTCTCCCAGTCTATAGCTTATATTTTGTTCTCTTTCTTAAATGGAGAAATATCACACAAGGACTGTGTGTTCATATATATATATAAATGTAGATATAATATATATGTATGACTGTGTATTCATATGTATGTATTTCAGATATTATGTACATATATTAAAGGTGAGAGCTGGATGTGAATTCTCACGATATCTATTACAGGGATATTCTCATATCGTATTTAAAGGAAGGGCTGCACTCATGATTTTAATACAAGGAAGCTCCAATGAACTTCTCCCCTACCATACCCCCTTTCTTCCCTCCCAGAGGGAGGGACTGCTAGTCTGAACTTTGTGACAATCATCCTCTTGCTTTGCTTTGCTTTCTTACTATTTCTGTATACATATCTAAATGATACATATTTTTAGTTTTACCTATTTTTTAATTTAAATAAATTTAATCATACTACATGCATTTTTGTGAGACTAGTTTCCTTCACTCTATATCTGTGAGGCTGCTCTATGTCAATGCATCGTCTTGTAGTTACTCATTTTTATTGCTCCATAGTGCTGTTATACACAATTTCATATATATATATATATATATATATATTTTTCCTTCCTATATGTATAATATATAAATTATATTTTCCCAATTGATGTATTTAGGCAACCAGTCCACTGTAGAGGACACTAGAGTTGTTTCCAGATGTTTGTTGTTTTAAGCAATGCTGCAGTGAACATCTACACACAGACCCCAGTGCATGAGTGTCATTTCTCTGACTATAGACCAGGAGGTGGGATAGATGAGAATACACATGGTGCGGTTTTTTCCAAGCAACTTTTTTACTCCTACCAGTAGCTGATGATTGTTTCTGTTACGCTATACCTTGCCAATGGTCAAAAATGTCACACTTAAATTTTTTCAATGTGGTGTGTACAAGATGGAATCTCTTTATAATATATAATTCTTCAATTGCTGGTGACTTGGTTTTCTTCATTCGTGAAATGCCTATTTAAGACTTTTTCTCTGTTTTCTATTGGGTTATCTTTCTCTCATTCATTCGTGGGCATTACTCATGTATTTGTGATCCTAATCCTTTGTAGGTAACATAGGTTGCTAATGCCTTTCCAAATTTCTGGCATGGCTTTTCTCTCTTTGGTATCCACCCGATGAACAGAAGTTTTTAATGGAAGGTAAGCCACGTAACAATCTTTCCTTTATGGCTTGTGATTTTTGTATTAAAAATCCCTTTCTCTGAGAACAAAGATATTTTCATTTATTACCTTCTAAAAACTGTATGGTTTTGCCCACCACATTTAGGTGTTTAATCCCCAGAACTGATTTTTATATATGGTGTAGGCATCCAATTTTTATGTGTGTAGGGATCCGATTTCCGTTGTTAAATATTAATCATCTCTTGTCCCAGTAAAGACTATCTCTTCATCACTGATTTACAATACCATCTTTGCCATATGTCAAATGTCCTTGGCCCATTTTTGCATTCTCTATTGTATTCCACTGGTCCATTTATCAATCCCCGCACCAATACCACCATCTCTAAATTCTGTTCTAAATGGTATCTTTCATTTCAATGGGATTTAATGCAGGAAGAGAAGCCACGTGTGTCATGGGTTTGCTATCTTGATCTTATCCCCTCCACCACTGTTTCAGGCAATAATAAATTGATTTCATTTTCACAATCCAATACACATTCAACTCATGGACTAGAATGCCAGCAATATCACTGAACCATACGAAATTGATGACATCTAGCCTTTTTGACCCAGAAAAATGGCAATATCATATACACCAACCTATACAGATTTTAGTGATGTGGAATAATACCCCTTTAGGTTAATATCAGAAAATAATGTTAAAGAGCAATAAAAATACATTCACCAACAACGATTTCACAGTGTTTGACACTCGCCTTTAAAAATCCGTCCTAGCCCTCGGAAATCCATTTGATCTGAGCAGTTAAACACGACCACGTATTTCCCCAAACATCTTCCCATGTCTTTCGTAGTTTCTGTTTTGCCAGTGCCCGCGGGTCCTGCTGGAGCACCTCCCATGTTCATTCCCAAAGCCTGCGCTAAAGTGATGTAGCATCTGCAAATGGGAATCAGAGAAAGCACCAGGAGTGTGGGAGAACACATTACTGCCCCAAAGCACAAGCCAGAGTCGGGTGTGACTGGAATGGGCCTGTTTGAGAATTTGAGCCGCCCATGTAAAGGAGGCTAGAGTACTTGATATTCACTAGAGGTAGTACAGTGATTGCAAACGTTTCTTGGGACAAGCTTTCTAAACTCCTCAGCCCTGACTTAAAACCTTCAGGCCTTCCTTGAGCTGTGGTCAGGATAAGTCATAAGTCAGGGAACCATATAAGCCGGGGTATACTGGCAGATGGGGAACAACTGGCCCTCCAGGAAAAATAAATAAATAAATCTGATTTTCATGTTTGCCAGTTGCAGTGGTATAAATACTTCCACTAGGGCTCATGACAAGCTACCGACGTGGTATCACAAAACTGGGAAGAGATGCGTACAGTTGACTCTCAAAAGCTGGTATGAGGGCGCCCGGGTGGCTCAGTTAGTTAAGCATCTGCCTTCGGCTCACGTTATGATCCGAGGGTCCTGGGATCGAGTCCCATGTCAGGCTCCCTGCTCAGTGGGGAGTCTGCTTCTCCCTCTGACCCTACCCCTCTCATGCTCTCTCTCTCATTCTCTCTCTCCCAAACAAATAAAGTATTTAAAAAAAAAAAGCTGGTACGAGTCAACTCCAGGACACCATTGCAAATAAATCATTTTACTATGAAATTTTTCACTCATTGAGGTAACTATAAAGAATAATATAATGAATCTTCTTGTATCCATGATCCAGCTTAAGTTATATGTGTTTCAGATCTAAGTAAAACTTAGTGAAGCTTCCTGAGACGTGAAGCTTTATATGCAAACCTCAGTGGAAGAGGAAACTCATGGACACGTTTATGCTACAGTGCTGGGCATACAGAAGGAGGTTGGATGAATCAAGAGACTAAAGACATAATACCTGCAGGCAGCCCTATTTAAAGGAACAGCAGAATTAATCATTCTATGACCCAATTTAAGTCAAGTCTACAAATACTTATTGAGCGTCTTCTATGTACAGCATATTGAACTAGGTGTTGTGGGATATGTAGAGATGAAAAAGGCCCAGTTCTCTCTGATGTCACATACTGGAAAGAACTGTGAGGAGATTGGCCATTGCCTGTTTATTCATACTGGACCAAGAAACTTGACTTTAGGTGTCCATTTCTACATTTGGAAAACCAGGAGACTAAATTCAATCATCTCCAAGGTCCCTTCCTTCTTTGCAATTCTAACGACTTCCCTTTATGGTGCCGGAGATATTTTTCCATCTTGCAATCTAAAATTCATTACTATATTACTCACAGTCAATGTTCAAGCTTGCTTTCATTCTTTTATCTTTTTCTGCTTCACAAAAATGTAATGCACGTGTACGTTTAAGTAATAACCTTGGTTATTTCATTGTTAGACTGACTTTGATGAGCTAGCATAGACCTAACACAACAGCAATATGCTTCTGTTAATATTTCAAATGCAATTTGAAAGCAATGTTAAGCACATCGTTTAATTACAAAGTGGAATAACAAAAACTGAGTGTCCTACCTATCTGTTAATGGAGTGATGACAAGACGGTCAGTGCATCCCAGAAATTCATTCTGGTAAATAAAATCCACATCTGTAATAGACACCACAGTTTGATCCAAATCTTCCTTAAAATAAAATCTACTCTGTTTTAGCCATTCAAAGTCAGTAACTGATTTGATATGCATTTTTACCTTAAAAACATGAAATACAAAGAGATTACATACTGAATTGCAATAGCATAAAACACAAGCATATGGGCAGTTTTTATTCACTCCTTTGTGAACTGATTCTCATTTATTTAACATATATTTCTTGGGTCCCTCCTTGGGCCTGACACTGTGCTGTGTAAACACAGACAGGCATTGTTCCTGCCTTCTAGAGCCGACAAAAGAAGATAAAAGACAAACAGATAAGCAAGTAATTGCAAAAACAGTATGAAAAGAAATTCAGGGTTCATGGAAATATGTAGCAAGAGGATCCTAATGTAGTCTAGGGGGCCTGAAAGGGATACTTGGAGAAAGAAATATTCAAACTAAAACCTGAAAAAAATAGTAGGAATTACCCATGGAAACAAAACCGAAAGAAAAAAACAAGTAAGTTTTTAAAAAGGGTAAAATGTCCTAGGCAAAGATCCAGAAGATCTGGCTGCATGTTCAAGAAACTGAAAGAAGTTCAGTATAGCTAAGGCATCTGGGACTTGAGAGAAAGAGAGTTGAGGCTTCACAGGACATGGAAACAGAGTTGAGCAGTGTTCTCAGAGCAAAAAGAAGCCCCCGAAGGGATTAGCAGGGAGAGCACGGTCAGTTACGCACACGTGCCTTCCTACACCAGCACTGTGGCCAAACCCACCAACCTGCCGGGTCATCAGCGTACTCCTATGGGCAAGAGGTCCTGGGCTCCCACAGCTGTGCGTGCAAGAGAGAGAAACCAGGGAAGCACATTTAGGAACAACATCCCACCACAACCACATTCTCAGGCGCTTCATGATTCTCCATGGGCAAAGTTGGAGAAAACTCGGTCCTGCCCACTCAGGGGAATCATCACAGGAAAGTGGTAAATGACCCCTATCGCTGCTCTTAAACTCGATCCCGCTTCCAGGTCGTTCAGCTGGCCTCTGACAACCCTGCCATGTTCTGGTCTCCATCTAATCAAGTCTCCATGCTGTGTACAGTCTTGCTTTTTGTCATCATCATTTGTTTATGACCTTGTTTCCCCCTGAAGTTAGGAATTCTGGCTTCTGGGCTAAAGCACAGTTTGTATTCATCACCTTAAAGAGCAACTTTCAGGTAACATGATCCAGTGTCTCCCCCAGGGACTCTCTCTCCCACACAGGACCTGCACCATGGAAATGCTGTCAACTGACCTCTCTCAACAATCCTTTAAGATGGTGAGGAGGAGATGGAAGATGAAGAAAAAAGAATAGCTAATACTGATTGAGTTCTTACCCTGTATCAGGCTGTTCTAAGCATCATACATGGAAAAATAAAATGCAAATAAGCCAGCCGTGAGATCTCATTTTAGTTGGGATGCAGAGAGACCATGAGTTCAATAGTAATTAAGACAAAAAGAATACAGTTATGTGGTTTTAATTGTGTATCAGTTTTTCTTTTTAAAAATCCATTCTGTATATAAAGTAAAGCTTTGCTCAGCGCTTAAATCTAAAAGAAATTTCTTCCATGGGATTTCAGCTTCAAGAGCCAGCGAGAAAGGGGTGCCTGGGTGGCTCCGTTGGTTGGGCATCTGCCTTGGGCTCAGGTCATGATCCCAGAGTCCCGGGATTGAGCTCTGCTTCCAGTTCCTTGCTCAGCAGGGAGCCTGCTTCTCCCTCTGCCCACCGCTCCCCCTGCTTGTACTCTCTCTCTCTCTCTGTCAAATAAATCAATAAAATCTTTAAAAAAAAAAAAGTGAGTCAGCAAGAAATGTTAGCCGCATGCTCTTCACAGATACAGTAATCGATTCCACAGGAGTTTCTTGAGGTGGACTTCAAAGAAAGCCAAAGTATGATAGTAACTGCAATTTAGTGAAAGCAACTCTGTAGATGGCTAAGGAACTATGGTCTGAGTATGCAGCTGATGACTGGCTTGATCAGAAGATCCAGAGATAAATCCTAGAGCAGTGTTTCCTCAACTTGAACATGCATATACAAATCACCTGGGAATCTTGAAATGCAGATTCTGATTCAGTGGAGGGTGGGGTGAGGGGAGGGGGCTGGAGATTCTGCTTTTCTAACCAGCTCCCAGGAGATGCTAATGCAACTGGCTGGCATATAATAATACTTTGAGAAGTGAGGGTCTAGATTCCAGGGGAATAAATGGACTGCATGTCCTTCAACCTTCCATAAATATGACTTATCTGATAGAATTCTTTTTTTTTTTTTTTTAAGATTTTATTTATTTATTTGAGAGAGAGAGAACAATCAGGGGGAGAGAGAGAAGCAGACTCTCTGCTGAGCAGGGAGCCCAATGTGGGGCTCGATCCCAGGATCCCAGGATCATGACCTGAGCGGAAGGCAGATGCTTAACCCACTGAGCCACCCAGGTGCCCTGATCAGAGCTTTTGATACAAGTTTGAAACCAGTAGTCTCTGATCATATTCTCTAAAAAAGAGCCCCAAGTTGTATGAATTACATGTCTCTGGTGAAGAAAAGAGATGCCTTTAAGATGAATCAAATCATATCAAATCAACTGATGGTTGTTAAAGACAAAGATAGTCAGATGGTCGAACCATGAGAGACGATGGACTTGAAAAACAAACTGAGGGTTCTAGAGGGGAGGGGAGGTGGGAGGATGGGTTAGCCTGGTGGTGGGTATTGAGGAGGGCACATTCTGCATGGAGCACTGGGTGTTATGCACAAACAATGAATCATGGAACACTACATCTAAAACTAATGATGTAATGTATGGGGATTAACATAAGAATAAAAAAATTAAAAAAAAAAAAAAGATAGTCAGATGGTGTTATATCAAAACCTCCTGGGCCCCTATCCTATAATGATAACCACTGGTTTAGGAGAACTTTGGCTTGCTCAAGACCTCTGGTTAGAGTCCTGTTCCTGAAGGGAGTTCACATACCACCCCTCCTACTCTCACCCTACAGAACCTTGTCCAGATCAAGCCCATGATGCCCTGTTGGACACAATCGATCAGACACGTTATCAGTGAGACTTCTCTGCAGCTTGATTCTATTTGATCAAGACTTCTTTCTGAATGAAGCAAATAACTCATGACCAGTCCCACTTATACTGTATCATGTCCCTGGTGGTTTGGTGTAATGGAACAAGTAGTTAGTTCACATCTCCTCCGTTGGTTCCAGACTTTCAGAATGCCATATATGAATATACACATATGGTTGTTTGAACCACCAAATAGGGTATTCGTAGCCATGGTATATATGGAGACAGGTGCAGAAAAGAACCAAGTAGATGGAAGGTTCATATACGTTAGAGAATAGATGTAATACTTAACTGTTCATTATTAGGAGCACTAAATTGTTAATTAGTACACTGAATTAGTTTAAGAAAAAAAAAGATACTTTACCAAGTCATCAAAAATATCTCTCTGATGCACATGGATGGTAATCAGAGTTTCAAACTTCACTCTATCAAACTTGCTTAGGTCATGTGTTGTCTGACTAATTAGAGTATTTAGAATATCCAAAAATTTCTGATTGGTCACATGCATGATTTTCCTGTCATCTTTTGCATTATTTAAAGCCTCTTCTGAATCATGTGTCCACAACATCTGAATTCCCAGAAGCCCCACCTATGCATCCAGAAGAAAAATAATAAGTAAATTTTCCAACTATTTAAAGCACGTCTATGATAAAATTTGGTGGTCACTCACCCAATGTGAAGGTGAACAAGGTTGACCCACTTTAAAATAAAAAGAGATATGCATTTCTCCACTCCCAAAAGGGGAAAAATAAACATTTAAAGTTCTAACTACTGATATTTAATGACTTCAGTGCAGAGAGATAAATAGTAATTTAAACGATGGCTACCATTTATGGAGTTGTATGTGTTTTATGAAGGATGCTTAGGAAATTTTTCTATAAAGGGTCTGCGACCACCAGATAGCTCCATATGATGATTTTTCTTTGTCATGGAAAGCAAACAGAATTACTAGACTCATTGTTGTGTGTTTTTCTGTAGCAAGGTTTCCCAAACGTCTCTCTGCAACTTCTAGAAACAGTACGCTATCTCCTTTCTTGATCTCCCACTCTCTTTATCATCCGTACCTTTTCCTACATCTACTTCTCTCTCTATATATCTATCTGAAGGAGAGAGAGAGAGAGAGTGACAGAAAATGAGAGAGGGGAGAAGCTAGTCCTTTTTCTCCTGATGAGGGCATAAGGAAATTGTGACTGTCACCTTGCCTACAATTTCTACCCCGGGAAAGGAGTAAAATTGTCGGAACATGGCCCACCCTCACCTTGCTGCACCAGTCGTCCCTTTAGGAGCTTTTGTTCATCAGCAGAGTCGAGCAACAGATCCAAGATCATTTGGACCAAAGGCAACATCACATTTGGCGGAGGGCTGAGAGCAGAGTGAGTGGCATGGGGATACTGCTGGGCACAGCATTTAATGTGGCTAAGGCAGGAATATAACCCTTTCCTTATCCCTGCCTCCTCAAGACTGCAAAATGTTTTCTGCTAGAGCAGTGGCCAATCCTGCGGGTCTGCATAAATGAAGGCACCTGACTGGGGTGAGAGCAACCTGATGTGGAGGAAACCTCCCATGTCAGGAAGCTCCCAGTAGCAAGCCAATTCTGACTCTGGCAGCAGCAGCTGATGGGGCAAGAGAGGAAAAGCAAAAAACAAACAAACAAACAAACAGCCACAAAACAAAAATACCTGGCAGTGTAAGGCTATCTGATTTAGAGACACAGACCCACAATCTCTGAGAAATCACTGCTTAATGGTATATTCTAAAAACTAATCTTTAAAAGCCTGGCTGGCTTAAAGCATGCAACCCTTGATCTCAGGGTTGTGTAGTTCAAGCCCCAGGTTGGGTATAGAGATTACTCAAAAATAAAATGACTATCCTGAGTCACCAAGGAAAGTTTAAATTATGTTTTTTATTCAGTTTAAGAAGTCAGGAGACTTAATGGTGAAAACTGGAGGATGTCTCATTAAAATAAAAACAAAACAAGAATGCTCATTCTCCTCAGTGTTACTCACTGCCTGTAATAAGCATGTTAAAAATGCTAGAAGGGAACACACTAAAATATTAAATCATCATTTCCGGATGGTAGAAGTAAGTAATGTACATATTGAATAAATATGCATGTATAGAGTATATACTGGATGAATATATACCTTAATTACTCTTTAAAGCAATTTCTCCAAATAACTAAAATTTGCCCGCTAAAACTGTTTAAAATTTCATCTCCTTACTGTGTCGTATACACACTACAGAAAATCCTGATGGCTGGTCAACTTTCCTGCTATATCCTGCTCAACTTCACTCCTGCTCTGAACTTGCTTTCAGTTCTCCACGTCATGTTAACTGCTCTGTCTAACCTAGACTGATCGTCTCCTTCAGAATATACAGGCGATCAAGCTTTCCTGGGAGAGGGCAAGTGTACTGATTTGGTCTAAGGAGCTATTTTTCTCACCTTACCAAATGACGTATTTTATAAAACTTCATCACAAAGGTAATAAAGCTGATAAGGATATTAAAGTTTGCCAAGGAGATTATACAATACAACAATATTAAATACAATATCAAAATATTCTCTCCAATAAAGGTTGATTCTATGTCGCTACTTGTGTCATTTGAATAAGTAATTTCCTATCATTTCAGCTGTCTCCGCTGTGTGTGCACTAAGTTGGGATTTGGAGGCTGGGCCGGGAGGGACAGTTAGAGAAGTACAGTTTGGGTAAAAACTACCTATATTTTCCTTGGATATCTCTTGCCTTCTCTCCTACACTATCTCTGACCCAGATCACAAAGCATCATTCTTCATTTATTTTGGCTGAAATTTGAAAATTTGAATGAAGCTGTTGGCTCTTCTTTTCCTGCACCCAGTTTTAGTAATACTTGGTGCATCGTGAAGCGTTCCTGAGAGCTATTAAAGAGAACACCTGCTCCAACCCCAGGCTCTTCAAGGTCCTGTCCTGTTAGGAGGTTAGTTGCACGACAAGGTCTCCTTTAACAGATTATGCCAATTTTTAATCCCTTGAAGTGAAAATACACAAAAGGCAAGATGGATTTTGTTTCAGCAAAAGCTATGCTCATTGCTTTTATATATGTCTGTATTCCTGTCTATATCTGTATCTATATCTATCCATACATAGACATATGGAAAATATACCATCTAATCCATCCATAGATAGATGTCTTTCATACACAGATAGGTGTGTCTTCTATATAAGATGAAATTTTCCATTAGTGACCTTAGTCTTAGTATTATCCTTAATGATGGGAGAAGAGTGGCAAATCCTCTTCCGGGGAATGGGATGGGTTGGCCTAGAACGGTGTAGGTAGACATGTAGGTAGATGGCAGCTGAGGGTGGGAAGGCCTCCCCAGAGTTCAGAGCTACGACAGCTGCCACACCATCAGGCCAACTGCTTCCAAGTATCTTTCCCCCTTATTTCCACCATTTTAAACATTATATAGTCTCACCTGTGCTGGGAAGTGGTTGAGGAAAGGTAAGAGTTGAAATCCTGAATCGCTGATTTGGTAGAATGCAGATCTAATTATATTATGTAGGGACGACATCTGCATTTTTAACAAATCCATAAGCCAAATCTCCACAGGACCTTTGGCCATAACAGGACTATCCAACTAAAAAATATATTACAGATACATTACAAATTGATAATAATTTCCTATTTTTACAAATGTCACACTTCACTTGATAAATCATAGTACCTCAGTGCAAAGCAAATAATTTTACACAGTATATTCAAAACACGAGAAAAATCAACTAATATTGTAGGTGGAAGGAACTAGAAACATCATCTGGTCTAAAATTTTCATCTTCCAGATGATAGAACAAGTCTCAGAGAAGTCAAATAAACTCATTTGTAACCAAGCCAGGGTGAAAGGACTAGACCCCAAGTCCACCCTCCTCCCCCACTCTCTGCTGTTCAAAAGAGAACTGCATTCTCCTCAACCTAAATTTTTGAAGAAATCCAAATAACAAAATTGTAACCATGTTAAATTACAATAATTTTTTCTCCTTCTCTTGATACGACGGCCAGGATACGATCGTAGTCTTTTGCATGAAATGTCACCTCATTTATGTTGTCAGATACTGCAGGGAGATGTGGCTACAGAAAGCACAAGACAGAGCAAAAACATCATACATGAGGCTAAACACAAAAGCCACTGAGGCGTATTTAAAAGCCTTAACATGTATTGACTTTGAAAGAGATTAAGAATTTACCTAATGGTGTCAACGAATAAAGACACAAACAAAGCACTGCTTTGACCCCCGATTGACTTGGAGGCCCACTTTTTTTTTTTTATTCTTATGTTAATCCCCATACATTACATTATTAGTTCTAGATGAAGTGTTCCATGATTCATTGTTCGTGCACAACACCCAGTGCTCCATGCAGCTCCTCAATACCCACCACCAGGCCAACCCATCCTCCCACCCCCCTCCCCTCTAGAACCCTCAGTTTGTTTTTCAGAGTCCATCGTCCCTCATGGTTCGTCCACCCCTCCGATTTCCCCCGCTTCATTCCTCCCCTCCCGCTACCTTCTTCTTTTTTTTATTTTTTTTATTTTTTTTAATTAATTTATTTTTTTTTGGAGGCCCACTTTTTAAGATCCAGCCCCACAGCCTGTTTCCTGCAAACGCCCTTGTTCCGCTATCGAGGCTGGACTAAGACTGTCACCTTCCTCCACATGGAGACTGAACCCCGCGGTTCCTACCCACGTCCCTCCCAGACACAGCTCTGTCCTGCTTCTCTCCTATTTCTCTCTCTGCCTGACACAGCTTTGATTTCCCTCCTCTCTTTTTGCTTCCCTCCAGCTCCCTGGAAACCAGCAAGGAAGACGTTAGTAGCGGCTTCCCAGATTGCCAAACCAGACACAGCCCTGGAATGGGTGTTTCAGTGCCTCCCACACCTGGTTCTTTGTCATTTTTCTCCACTTTCTGGAAGTACGGCCCTTGGAAATGGCTAAAAGCACTTGGATTTGGACAAATCTAAACCACAATCCCTATTTGATCTAAAAATATTTAGACTAAAATGCTCACAATAATGAATTACATTTAGTGAGCACATACTGTGTTCTAGATACTTTCCAGTACATGATCTTATGTAATCCATGACAATCCTTTAAGGTGGGAACCATTAACATCCCTATTTTACAGATGAGGAAACTGAGGCATGAGAAAATTAAGAAGCTGGTTAAGGTCACTCAGCTGTTGAGTTGCATGATCAGTGACTCTTGCCTCAGGTTGATGAGCTCAGAATACATAGAAAATAGGATATTTTATCCTCAACATAATTTTTAATACTCTCTTGCCTGTTCTTTTTAGATGCTAACTTCATTTTTATTATTAATTATGTATGCTGTGTAAAAAAGCAATTTAGGTAATAGATTTTAAGATTATACCTGTATGGTGTGGGAGTCACTGGCTTGTCCAAGAATTTCCAGGAGAACTGGATCAGATACAAAGAAGAATCTTGGAAACAGTAATCTCTTCTTCTCCAAATACCTTTAAATAAAGTCATGTTACCAAATGACTTTTTCTGAATTATTACTTTTTTTTATTTATTTATTTGAGAGATAGAGTGAGCGAGAGAGAGAAAGCACACATGAGCAGGGGCAGAGGGAAAGGGAAAAGCAGGCTTCCCCGCTGAGCACGGAGCCTGATGTGGGGCTCGATCCGAGGACCCTGGGATCATGACCTAAGCTGAAGGCAGATGCTTAACTGACTGAGCCACACAGGCGCCCCTGAATTATTAATTTTGGGGGTTATTTTAGCCAAGACACAATCCCTAACATCTTTAGTAAGATAAAACCAAACACCTATGGTCATTTCCCATTTGCCTCTGAAATGTTTGGTTAGAACCAGTCTGTGCTCAGTCACAGATGGCATTTGGGAAAGCAAGTGGAAATAAAGGGATTCAGAGTGAGCCTGCTCCATCACCTATGGTCTTCTTTCTCAAAAGCCCTCCTGTTGATGCAGAGAACAAAGGCAAAAAGAAATGTAGATAAAATTAAATTTCCTAACTTGCAGCCCATTCACAAATATTTGAGACAGGCAGAATACAACATTCCTCCAGGAACTCCCAACTGTCTTAATGTTAATGCCTTACTAGAGGAAAAAACAACCTTAGCTTGACAATAGCCAGGATCCTATAAATCTTCTTTAGCGTATGAAAATCCTTTTGGAAACTTCCTTTGTCTTTACCTCCCCCAACTCCAAAATATATAATCAGTTGCTCCTCACAACCCAAGTGCGAGTGCAGATCTTTCTGCCCACAGGGGTCCTGTCTCTGTGCTTTAATAAAGCCACCTTTTTGCACCAAAAAGTCTCAAGTATTCTTTCTTGGCTGTTCGCTCATGAACCCCCACTTCAAATCACATCACCATGGCCTTTCTAGGGGTATTGTGAACTTCATGGCTTAAACCCAGGATGAACACATAATTATCTCCAAACCAGGATACTGGGGGAGCACTGGGGGGACCAACTAGCCATGAAGTCAAGACAGAGGCATAAACTTGGATAAACTAGGATATACCATAACTCTATTTCAAACAGAAATTGAGAATGAACTGCCTTTTAAGAAAACCATCTGTGGATTCATCTGGTTAATTGCTGGCTTAGTGCACATCTCTACTCCATGTCTGTAGTGGATTGAATGGTAGTCCCCCAGAAGACATGTCCTCGTCCTAATCCCTGGAAGCAGTGCATGTGGCCTTATTTGGAAAAAGGGCCATTGTAGATGTATTGAAGTTAAGGATCTTTTTTTTTTAAGATTTTATTTATTTATTTGACAGAGAGAGACATAGTGAGAGAGGGAACGAAAGCAGGGGGAGCGGAAGAGGGAGAAGCAGGGAGCCCGATGCAGGGCTCCATCCCAAGACCCTGAGATCATGACCTGAGCTGAAGGCAGATGCTTAGCGACTGAGCCACCCAGGCACCTCAAAGTTAAGGATCTTGAGAAGAGAGAATCCTAGATGATCCAGATGAGTCCTAAATCCCATCATAAGAATCCTCATAAGGGACACACAGGAAGAAGAGGAGAAGGACATGAGAAGACAGAGAGATCTAAATTATGTAGCCACAAGCCAAGGAACTCCTAGAACCACCAGAAGCTTGGAGAGGTAAGGAAAGATTCTCTGTTAGCACCTTCCGAAAGTGCTGACACCTCGATTTCAGGTTTCTTGCCTCCCGAAATGTAAGCAAATAAATAAATGTCTGTTGTTTTAAGCCACCCACTTGGTGGGAATTTGTTACAGTGACCCTATAAAACTACTAAAATTTTGTCTTAACTCCTCAACCCCCAAATCTATGGGGTCTTTTTTGCAGGAAAATTAAATTTATGCTACATTCCTAGAGCCACTTCAGCCATCCCTACCAAACCAGAAATGCCGTCAATATTATTTACTTGTATGGGATAAAACACCATCACATATAAAATGAGAGGAAACTTAAAACTTCAGCTCTTACCCTGTGAGTGACTTCTGACATACTTCCAACTGTTCATGCAAATGAGGTAAAAGCTGCCCCATGGTTTCATCTCCAACACAGCAACTGATCACATTGGGGTTCTCGTGAGCTCGCTGCATTATCTTCATCCATGACTTGTCAATATTCTGAAACCGCTTTGCTTCCTAAAAACAAACTCCTAGTTAGGAAAAATTAGCATTTGAATAAAGCAAAGTCTTCATTTTGGAATTTCCTAGAGTTCCTCAGACCGGCTTCTACTAGTTCTCAGTCTACATAATTTAAAGTAGCAATTTTTTTTCATCTGAATTAATTCTGGACAACAAAAACCCAAAGTCATAAAACTGCTTATTGAAATACTGCTTTGTCACAATGGGGCTTATCGTTTATTTGTTTTCTTATATTTAATACATTTTTCAAAATGCCACACAATTAATTTGCAGAGCTATCAACTTAAAGCTCAAATCTAGTCTTTCAGCACCCCAGGTGTTTGGTTTGATGAGCAAACTGAAGAAGCATGAAAATAATTTGATCTCAAGATCCTCTGAATAATTACAGCTCAAAAATACCCCAGGAAAAAGAAAAAAAAAACAGTGAAACCCCAAAACAAAGCTTCATTTACATTTTTGCAAATGAAATTTCTCTATTTACTATGGATGATATTAAGCTTTGCATTCAATTGTAAAAATGCCTCTAGAAATGGCATAATCTTGACTCCTTGAAAACTTTCAAGGGTATTTTTTTAAAACAATGCAACTTTCCGATTGAAAAAGAAAAGAATTATGTTCAAAACGTGTTATTACAAAGGGAAATGAGCCCTTTTCAAAGCTCTTTTATCCTTGATTTTTAATTTATATAGATCCTGTATTTATAGAAATTCAGAAAGAGCAGGCTTAATTTCATAAGAGGGACGTTACCTTCATAGAACAAAGCTATTAGTAAGTTTATTTATTTAAAAGGCCCAAATAAAGCTGTTTTAAAGATTTTTGTTAAGGGCTTCTAAAACTGTTTCTTTGCCCCATGGTATATACCTGATCTATTACTGGTCAACTTACTAACAGTTAATTTGTGTTTACACAATACAGATTAATTTAATCCTACTCTCAGAGGAAGATTATAAGGTGACCTCTTAGAAGAAATGAACTACTATAATTTAATAGTACCATATTTGAATGTACCTCACATCTTCAGACAACCTGGAAATTTGAAAATATGTGCGTTTCTTCTTTCTACTAAAATAAATTAAGAAATCAGCACATTTTTAAAACTTATTTTGCCAAGGGGCTGGATAGTAAATATTTTAGGCTTTGCAGGTCATATGGTCTCTGTTACAACTACTGAACTTTGCTGTTGCAATGCTAAAGTAGCCATAGACAGAACATAAATGAATAGGTATGGCTGTGTTTTAATAAAACTTATTTACAGAAACAGGTGCGTGGGCCAGAGATTGCAAACCCTGGTTTAAATAATCAAGATACAGCCATATGTCTTTGTAAAGATTTCTACAGAGACATATGGACAACACACATCAAACTGTACTATCAGTAGTTACAAAAACCATATTTACCTGAGGCAGCTGTTTGGCAATATCTCCACCTACAAAGACAGCTTCAAGATAAACCCAAAGGTTCTGGACTACTAGCCACTCTTCAATTATATCTGAGGAAGTAGACAATTTATACACCCAATTCTGGATCGTTTTTTTAAATGGAGCATTATATCTGAAAGTAAAAATGGAAAAATATTATATTTTAAGGATGATGCAGAAAATAATATGGCCTAACAAAGTAAATTAGAGGAGAAACATTCTTTTGAAAGTGAACTTTTTTTTTTTTCCTAAAAGGCAGTTCCTAATAAATTTCACACAGCTAATGAGATATTTGCTTTTCTAGGAGTAAAACTCATATCATTATAGCGATTTTACTTGTTTCTGTGTATGAGTCACAGACCAGAAGATGAATCAAGTTTTGTGACACGGGGAGGTCCAGCAAAGGAATTGTGCTGGCTGTTTCTGGGATGAAAGGGAACACATTGGATAAGGTGTTTTTACAAGACTTCTGTGAACCAAATCCAAGTGAGCACTGCCTGCAAGAATAACACATAGAACACTGTTCCTGGTCTGTGAAACTATCACCACAAGGCCAATGTCAAGATTGAGGGTTGATGTCCACCTATAGATGTGCTCTTCTCACCCACAGACTGCTAATTCCACGAGGCACTGTGCCTAGATTCTACGGTGTTAGAGATCCAGAACAGTTGCCCCCAAATAGCATGCTTCCTGTTTTCTTAACATCAGAGCTAGCTGCAGAGTTCGTGAGAATTCGAGGTGTCCAGAAAGCTGGGCACAGCCAAGAAAGACAAAAAAATACAGGGGATGTCATGCAAGAAGTGATGGGAAGCTACTGGGTAAAGACCCAATTACCTACAGTTGGATTAAGAAGCTGACTTCAGTTTGTGGCAATGACAAGTAGGTTCGATGTGGTGTAGTGATATTGCTGGTGAGTGGCACTTACTGAGAAGGTTCTTCAGACTTTTCTGGATCCAGGGCAGGGTGACTTGACAGTGCTTACATATATAAGGGGGTTCTTCTGGGTATAGTCTGACACCTGAATGCAACCCATAACTTCTCTAGAAGCCTATGCTATACATGGAGGTATAAAGGGAGTTATGTAAAAAATTGCCGCAAGGAGGTAGGTGAGCTATTCAGGCAGTAAGAAGCATTTGACTCAACACCCAATTTACACTGTCCAGCTGACCATCATTCTAGAGCCGAAAGGAAGTCAGTATGTTAAAAGCATCTTCAAAATTAAGACATGCACACTAAGATGGGCACTTCAGGGGGTTGAAGCACCTAGATATTTGAGGCCAAAAATGGCCCTGCATGGAGGGAAAAAAGAGTCATCTTTGATGGCATATGACTTCCCAACATGAAAAAGGGAGATTTGAAATTAGATCTAGCCTAACCAGTTTCTGTCCTTTGGTCATTGCACAACTTTGCATGGTGGAACCTGTCATGATTGTTAGGCATTCCTATGGATCAACTGGGAATCCACTAGCAAAGTGTCACCATCCAGGCAATATCTGGAGTCAAGTCTCACCCATGGAGATATACAATTTACTCCTGAAGTCACATCCAGGCAGCCCTAGAGACCCCGCAGACACTGCCTCGGCATTGAGTTTACTAGTACTATAAATAAATATTATACTAATCAGGCTAAATCCAAGTTAAATATGAAACTAAGAAAGCCTTCAAATCCTGAATTCATTGGCTACAGATACTGTTCAGGTGAATCTACAGCCTTTCTTCAAGAGGTCATCATTCAGGAAATCAGCATGGCAAAATTTGCTATGAACCATGAAACAGTATCCCATAAAGTCTAAGAACCACTGAATATCCTATGGTCACCTTTGCCAGGATTATTCAGATTCCCTGAAAGCAGAAGATGTACCTAGGATCTTAGCCCCAGCAAGTCAACCCAGAACTCCCAGAACTAGGAGTTTTGGAATTGTACATTATCCAAATGCAAGACTGCCTTTGGGGCCAGAGGTCATGCAGAATATCATTTATTAACCAGCGATTCCAACCTAGAGAAGGGATATTAGAGTTCCAATGCATCCCAGACATTGATTCTGCTAATGATGAGGTTGTGACATATTTCTTAGGTGTGTTAAAGTGAAGAACGGTTGAGAATTATTGCGGAGTCAGCTAGGGAATTAGAGGTTGCTAATGCTCAGATTAAGACCTGACAGTATACTTAATCTGAGTCCCATTTTGGAAAGCTGCACTCAAGGTCACAGTCACCTTCCAGCTGGTTCAGTAATCCAATGATGGACAGATCATCTCACTTAGGGCAGAGTAAACCCAGCACACATATAGCCACTTTTCCCCATAAAAAAAATGCATGAAGTGTTTACGTAACAAGCCCCTAATAATATATTCCTTTCATGTGTTGCCAGCATACTTTTCCTGGGTCATTGGGTGAACACTTGAGCAGGGTTGGCCAAGGAGGGCAAAGATGACATATTGGAGGAACCAAAGAGAAAGAAAATAAAATGAATAGGTCATCTCAGCGGGGAGCCAAGATGTTTAAGAGATAAGCTGCCAATTTGGGGGAGAGTAAATATGATGGTGCCCACCAGAAAAACAGTAAGAAGAGATGGGTACCATAAGGAAGAGACAGAGGCCATGACTGTTAGGGAAAATGGGTAGCTCATTTAAGGACAGACAAGAGTGAGCACTTCAGGTCAGAATCTTGTGTTATACCACAGCTGCAAAACTGGGCTTTCACCTAGTATTATATAACCCTAAAAACCAAATTAACACCTTCCCCCCAAAGTATAAAATTACCTGTTGCTTAGTAAGGAACCTAAGACCATTAAACTATCCTCCATCAAAGTGATAATTTCTCCTGATTCAGTTCCTTTGAGAAGGAGCTCTCCCCTTCCCTTAAATGCTGCAAAACTCAGGTTCTGGTTGGTCCAATTTTCAATCACCTGAGTCAGCTTGGCTTCAATATCCTTCTCCTTAATGGCAGATATGCAAATATCCTTCAGAGGGAGATCAAAGAATATGTCATGACATTTTCAATTACAAATTAAGTGCCTTGGAAAATCATAGAATTTTCTAGCTTGAACCTAGAAGTCATTTAGTCATTTTGTGGCCAAGGAAACCAAAGCTCATGATCATCATGTTATAAGTTCAAACCAGAACCTTCTGACCATCTGACTACTAGTTCTTTTATGGTACCATATACACGCAATAACAGAACTTAAATCTTCATGTTTCTTGATTACATTTTTAATTGGAGTTTTTTGGCCAAGATGGAGATGATAACAGCTGCTCTATCTCAGCAGGTTGTTATGAGAAACAAGGGAGGATATATGTGGGGGGTCCTTTGAACTCCTCAAAGTAACACAGAATCATTGCTGTATTCCAGCTTGCTCTGGCCCTAATATGAATATCTCATTTGCTTAAAAGTCATTCTATTTTTTTTCTCACAGGTTTTCCTGTTTTTCTGAGAGTCCTTGATATTAGAGTCTCACAAGGAAAAATAAAAGTAATGTATTTTCCCTACCAGGTCTCTATTTATTTTCATACTTAGAATCACAGATCTCAGAGTTGGGAAGGAATCGAAAGGTATTTCTACAAATAATTATAATACAAAGTAGCATGTAATCAATGTCCTCAGAATGGTATGACTTGTTGTGAATTCTGAAGAGGGAGAAAGGACTTCTGCCCGCAGTCAGGAGGGAAGGCCTCACTGAGGAGGGAGCATCTGAGACTGAGTGGGATTCCAGTGGGTGGTGGGGGCAGACATTTTACAGTGAGGGGAAAGAGTTCCTTTAGAGGCAGTGAGTCCAGGGACAGAGGGAATCCAGCTTGGCTAATGGCAGGACATGTGGAACAGAGCAAACAGGATGCACAGGCATACACAGCGCTGAGGATCTGTTTTGGGGTACAAATAGTAACTGAACCCTGGAATTCCTTGGAATTATAGAATGAAGTTTTCAAAGCACAGCTTATAAATGACTATATTCTTAAGTGTAAAACCTACCTATAAGAATGAGATGGGCATCAAAGTTCTTTTTCAATTCTTCATTTCCTTCAAGAGTATTTGAATGATATTTATAAGTAGGACAAAATTCTTTGAAAACAAAATTTCTGGTGTACATGTGTTTTTAAGAAGGGGAGAAGGAGATGGAGAGCCTGGGTGGCTCAGTGGGTTAAACATCTGCCTTCGGCTTAGGTTGTGATCCCAGGGTCCTGGGATCAAGCCCTGAGTCAGGCTCACTGCTTAGTGGGAAGCCTGCTTCTCCCTCTCCCTCTGCCCCTCCCCCTGCTTGTGCTCTCTCTCTCTTTCCCTCAAATAAATAAATAAAATCTTTAAAAAAAAATGGTAAAAGAAGAGGCAGAAAACTTAAAACCATATATATGGGAGATTTCTGGTTACATGGTACAGTTCCTCACCTCCAAAAATATAGAATAATTGATAAAATGCAAACAGAGAAAGTAGAAAACATACCAGGCTTAAAAACCAAACATTTCCATGGACCTGAAGTGGAAAAGACACCCAAACCACTGGGTAGAGATGAAGCCCAGGCCTGAGGGCTCTGGTGGGGGTGTAGGGCAGGGGGCGTCAAGCCCTTCTAAATGGGTTTGCATAGACATATCTTGTTATACCCCAGGGTCCAACACAGAGGCAGCCCACTGAAAACTGCCCAGCCTTTCTGTGAAAAAGGCCTATTTGCTTATCTTAGAGCTTCTGCCTGAGAGGCTGGCATCTAATTTAATATACAACTCGGGGCCTATTGAAATACTCTCCAAAGACGGAGGCTGGTGGGCACCACTGATGCACTGTCCCTCTGCCTCACTCCAGGTCACCGATGTCTCCCAGAAAGGAGTTTATGCACATGTCTGGCCCCCTGGGTTTTTTTTGTAGCTGCCACCCAGGGGATGTCTCTTGATCACCTGATTCTGGTGGCAAATGAGGTTTGCCACAGGACTATAATAAATGGGGGGGGGGAAGAGGTTCATAACCAGCTACCCACCCCAGGGCTGAGCACTGAGATATCAGAAGGAAATGCCCGGTTTCTTACTTTGAAAGAGGCCTCTTGCTTTATCTTCACAGCTGTGGCCTGAGGATCAGGCCTCTAATGAAACATACATCCAAGGGTCAACTATAATCATCTCCAGAGACTTGGAAGGGTGAGTGCTATCTTCAGACTCCTTATGCTCTGCTCCCAAATGCTGGCATCTCCAACAAAGGAGCTTGTGTAAATAACTGGCACCTGGCATTTGTGGCTGTCACCCAAAAGGCACATCCCTTAACAGCCTGACTCTGGTGACCATGTGATCTGACTTACAGATCACATGGGCCAACATTCACATTCTAGGAATCCCAGAAGGAAAAGAGGGCAGAAAACTTATTGGAAGAAATAATGGCTGAAAACATCCCTAAACTGGGGGAGGAAACAGACATTTAGACCTAGGAAGCCCAGAGAATTTCAAAACAGATGAACCCAAGAGACCCACACCAAGACACTATAATTAAAGTGTCAAAAGTTAAAAACAAAGAGAAAATCATAAAAATGACAAGAGAAAAACAACTTGTTATGTATGTACAAGGGAACTCCCACAAGACTAATAGCAGATTCTTCAGCAGAAACTTTGCACACCAGAAGAGAGGAGCACAATATATTCAAAGTGATGAAAGGAAAAAATTATCATGAATACCCTACCTGGCAAAGTTGTCCTTCAGAGTCAAAGAAAAGATAAAGAGTTTTCCAGACAAGCCAAAACGTAAGGAGTTCATCACCACTAGACAAGCCTTACAAGAAATGTTAAAGGGACTTCTTTAGGCTAAAATGAAACAGTGTTAATTAGGAACAGGAAATATATGAAAGTGTAGATCTCACTGGTAAAGGTAAGTATATAGTAAAATTCAGAATAATCTAATGTTGTAAAGGTAGTAAGTTAATTACTTAAAAAGCCAGTATGAAGGTTAAAAGACAAATGTAGTAAGACTATAACTACAATTATTGTCAATGGATACACAAGATAAAAATAGGTAAACTGTGACATCAAAAACAAAATGTGGTGGGGGGAAGTAAAAATGTAGAGATTTAGAATGCATTCAAACTTCAGTTATCAACTTAAAATAGACTGTTATAATTGTGTTGTTATACATAAGCCTCATGGTAACTACAAAGCAAAAACCTATAGTAGATACACAAAAGATAAAGCATACCACTACAGAAAATAATCAAATAACAAAAGAAGAGAGCAAGAGAAGACAGGAACAAAGGAATTACAAAAGAACCAGAAAATGATTAACAAAATGGCAATAGGTACATACCTATTAATAATTCCTTTATATGTAAATAGACTAAATTCTCAAAAAAAAAAAAAGACAAAGAGTGACTAAATGGATAAAAAAAAAACAACCCATCTATAGGCTGTCTACAAGAGATTCAGTTCAGATGTAGGACACACACAGAGTGAAATTGAAGAAATGGAAAAAGATATACCATGCAATGGAAACCAAAACAAAGCTAGGGTATTTATGCTTATACAAGACAAAATAGATCTTTTTTTTTTTTTTTTAAGATTTTATTTATTTATTTGAGACAGAGAGAATGAGATACAGAGAGCATGAGAGGGAGGAGGGTCAGAGGGAGAAGCAGACTCCCTGCCGAGCAGGGAGCCCGATGCGGGACTCGATCCCGGGACTCCAGGATCATGACCTGAGCCGAAGGCAGTCGCTTAACCAACTGAGCCACCCAGGCGCCCCCAAGACAAAATAGATCTTAAGACAAAAACTGTAATAACAGACAAAGAAAGTCATTATATAATGATAAAGGGGTCAAACCAACAAGAGGATATAATTTTGTAAATATTTATGCACCCAAATAGGAACACCCAAATATATAAAACAAATACTAACTGACCAAAAAGAAGAAAATGACAGCAATACAATAGTAGTAGGGGACCTTAATCCCTACTTTCATCAATAGATAGATCATTCAGACAGAAGATCAATAAGAAAACAATGGCCTTAAATGACACATTAGATGAGATGAACTTAGACATATGTAGAACATTTCATATAAAAGCAACAGAATACACATTCTTCTCAAGTGCACATGGAACATTCTCCAGGACAGATCACATGTTAGGCCACAAAATAAATCCCAATAAATTTAAGAAAACTGAAATTATGTCAAGCATCTTTTCCAACCACAATGGTATGAAACTAGAAATCAATTACAAGAAGAAAACTGGAAAATTCACAAACATGTGGAGATTAAATAACATGCTACTGAAGAACTAATGGCTCAAAGAAGAAATCAAAAGAGAAATAAAATAATACCTTTAGAAAAATGAAAATGGAAATACAGCATACCAAAACTTATGGGATGCAGCAAAAGCAGTTCTAATAGGGAAATTCATAAGGCTAAATGCTTACATTAAGAAAGAAGAGAAATCTCAAATAAACAACCTAGCTTTATATTTAAAATAATTTTAAAAAGAATAACAAACAAAGCCCACAGTTAGTAGAAGGAAGGAAATAACAAAGATCAGAGTGGAAATAAGTGAAATAGAGACTAAAAAAACAATAGAAAAGGTCAAAGAAACAGCTGGTATTTGAAAATATAGATGAAATAGATAAAATTTTAGCTAGACCAACCAAGAAAAGAGAGGACTCAAATAGAATCAGAAATGAAAAGAAGACATTAACCAATGCCATAGAAATAGAAAGGGCCATGAGAGATTACTAGGAGCAATTACATGCACAAGAATTGGACAACCTAGAAGAAATGGGTAACTCCCTAGAAACATACCACCTACCAAGATTGAATTATGAAGAAATAGAAAATCTGAACAGACTGATTACTAGTAAGGAGATTGAATCAGTAATCAAAAAAATCCCAACAAACAAAAGTCCAGGACCAGATAGCTTCACTGGTGAATTCTACCAAACATTTAAAGAAGAATTGATACCAATCTTCTCAAACTTTTCCGAAAGACAGAAGAGGAGGGAACACTCCAAATTCATTTTATGAGGCCAGCATTACCCTGATACCAAAACCAGACAAAGACACCATGAAAAAAGAGAACTACAGGCCAATATCCCTGATGAACACAGATGCAAAAATCTTCAATAAAATACTAGCAAACTGAATTCAACAATACAGTAAAAGGATCACACACAATAACCTTGGAATTTATTGGAATTTATTCCAGGGATACAAGGATGGTTTCAGTATCCACAGACCAATCAATGTGATATACCACATTAACACAAAGAAGGATAAAAATCACATGATCATCTCAATTGATGCAGAAAAGCATACAAAATTCAATATCTATAAACGATATAACCTCTCAACAAAGGTACAGAGAGAGAACATACCTCAACATAATAAAGACCATATATGACAAATCCACAGCTAACATCACACTCAATGCTTTTAGGTCAGGAGGAAGAAAAGGATGCCTACTCTCACCAGTTTTATTCCACTTAGTATTGAAAATCCTAGCCAGAGCAATTAGAAATGAAAAGCATCTGAATCAGGAAGAAAGAAGTAAGGTAAAACTGCCATTATTTGCAGGTAACCTGATATTATATATAGGAAACCCTAAAGATGCCCACCAAAAACAGTTAGAACTAATAAATGAATTAAGTTGCATAAAACAAAATCAATATGCAAAAATCAGTTGCATTTCTATACACTAATAATGAACTATCCTAAAGAGAAATTAAGAAAACAATTCCATTTACAATTACATCAAAAAGGATAAAATACCTAGGAGTAAATTTAACAAGGAAGTTTAAGACCTGTACACTGAAAACTCTAAGACATTGATGAAAAAAACTGAAGAAGACACGAATTAATGGAAAAATATCCCATGCTCATGGATTGGAAGAATTAATATTGTTAAACTGTCCACACGATCCAAAGCTAACTACAGATTAAATGCAATCCCTATCAAAATTCTAAAGTCATTTTTTATAGAAATAGAAGAAATAATCCTAAAATTTGTATGGAACCACAAAAGACCCCAAATAGCCAAAGCAATCTTGAGAAAGAAAAACAAACTTGGAGGCATAATGCTTCCTGATTTCAAACTATATAACAAAGCTATAGTGATCAAAAGAGTATAGTATATTTGGCATAAAAACAGACATAAAGATGAACAGAATAGAGAGCCCAGCAATAAACCCACACATTTATGGTCAATTAATTTATGACAAAGGAGCCAGGAATATACAATGGAGAAAAGGCAGTCTCTTCAGTAAATTGTGTTGGGAAAACTGGACAGCCACATGCAGAAGAATGAAAATGGACCACTACCTTACACCACACACAAAAATTAACTCAAAATGAATTAAAGATTTGAATGTAAAACCTGAAACCATAAAACTCCTAGGAGAAAACACAGGTGATAAGCTCCTTGACATTGTTCTTAGCAATGATTTCTGGATTTGGTAACAAAGCCAAGGAAACAAAAACAAAAATACACAAGTGGGACAACATCAAACTAAAATGCTTCTGCACAGCGAAGAAAACCATCAACAAAATGAAAAGGCAACTAACAAACAAGATAAAATATTTGCAAATCATAAATCCGGTAAGGGGGTAATATCTAAAATATATAAAGAACTCACATAACTCAGTAGGAAAAAAACCCAAACAATCCAATTAATAAATGGGCAGAGGACTGGAATAAGCATTTTTCCAGAGAAGACATGCAAATGGCCAACCGGGTACATGAAAGGGTGCTCAACACCACTAATCTTCAGGGAAATGCAAATCTAAACCACAGTGAGATACCACCTCACACCTGTTAGAATGGCTATCATCACAAAGGCAAGAAATAACAAGTGTTAGGGAGGATGTGGAGAAAAAGGAACCCTGCACATTGTTGGTGGGAATGTAAATTGGTACAGCCACTATAGAAAACAGTATGGAGGTTCCACAAAAAAATTAAAAATAGAGCTACAGGGGCACGTGAGTGGCACAGTCAGTTAAGCATCTGACTTTGGTTCAGGTCATGATCTCAGGGTCCTGGGATCAAGTCCCACATTGGGCTCCCCACTCAATGGGGAGTCGGCTTGTCCCTCTCCCTCTGCCCCTCCCCCCACTAATGTTTTCTCTCTCTCTCTCTCTCAAATAAATAAATAAAACCTTTAGAAAAAAAATAGAGCTACATATAATCCAGCAATACTACTTCTAGGTGTTTATTCGAAGAAAATGAAAACATTAATTCAAAAAGAAAGAAACCAGAAAGAACATACATACTGAGAATAGACTGGCGGTTGCCAGAAGTCGGGGGGTTGCAGGGTGAATGAAATGGGTGAAGGGGGTCAAAAGGTACAGACTTCCAGTTATAACATAAATAAGTCCTGGGATGTAATGTACACATGATGACTATAGTTAATAATACTGTATTGTATATTTGGAAGTTGTTAAGATAAAAGTTCCCATCACAAGAAAAAAAAATTAACTTTGTGTGGTGATGGATGTTAACGAGACATATTGTGATGATCATTTTGTAATATATAAATGTATTGAGTCATAACACTGCAAACATAAACTAATATGTTTATATCCCAGTAATAAAAAGTATATAATTATAAAAATTATATCTCAATAATAAAAAAAGAGATACCATGCAAACAGTAAGCACACACACAAAAAGAAAAAGAACCAATTAAAAATCTTGGAAAGGAAAAATAATTTTAAATATGTAGTAGATTAATAAGAAAAAGGATGGAATCAGAAATTTGGAAAATGTTCTGAGGAATTCACCAGGAGTGCAATACAGAAATAAACAGATTTTTTTTTAAATGAGAGCTAGTTAAGGGACAAGGAGGATAGATTAAGGACCTCCCAAACTAACATATTTCAAATAATCATCTTATCTCCTTGAGTTACTATATTATTTTGCAAAACCAAAGGATGTTCAGGATCATTCCAAATTTTGAGGGTACATTATATAGGGCAATTAGTACACTCTTAAATAAAATGTCCATTTGTATAATTTCCAGAAAAGTAAAAGGAGATGTTCTTTAATGAACCGGTGATAAGATCTTATAAGCTTATGTACCTCAATGTCATCCTTATGTTTAAGTAGTGGTGCTTCCATAATATTTCTAAGACAAAAAGAATCAGATTCCACATCAAATGGGGTTCCAGTTAACTCAGAGATTCTGTCCCAGTGTCTCTGTTTCATTGCCTTATTGGTCATCATTTCCAGCAGAGGACATGACTCACTGAAATCATCAATTCTTTTTTTCAGATCCAAAAAAGCTTGCCAATCTTTAAGCCCTTTTGGGAGTTTACGACACCTTTCAGAAAAAAGAAAAAAAAAAAAACTATATCACTATCCATTACTTTGAAGCATTATGTATATACAGCAATATATCAGAGGATAAATTCATTTTTAAAATACCTACAGCTCCTATGAAGATAGGCACTACAAAAAGGTAAGCTTAATTCATTTCAAACTCACCTGTTTTGAAATTCCTGCAGTTCTGCATTAATTTTTTCAATGTCTACATCTCCCCAAAGTATTTCATAATAACCACTAATATTGTTCATTACAGTATCATATAGTCCATACAGCTTCTGCAGCAAGTTGAGCTCTTTTCTGGGAAACCAAATAAAGTCATTACATAATGTGTATCTTAAAAATAAATGTCATTATTGGATAGGCAGAATTCATCCAATCAAATATTACATACATGACGTGTAATGTCTTATAGACACCAACATGCAAACAACCCTGTCAGTTTCCAAACAAAAATTTTATTAAAGCTCTATCAGTTAGGTCAAGTTTATAGCTCTCAAATATTCCAGGTCATACTATGACTTGACATTAACAAATGGTTTGATTATTATTACAGTTCCAATCATTGCAAACAATGTGACCAGAACTTGATAATAAGATCAAAGCTAAGGCTAAGGTTTTGACTGTTTTTTTTCCAAATGCAAGCTGGTTTTTTATGAGAACATCTGCCTTTAGGAAAGTGATTTAAACATCACTTTCCTACCAAAAGCTTTCCCTCATGTACCCAAATGGAATTATATACGTAACAAGAATAAGAGGAGGGATTATAGATCCAAGTAAAGAAAAAGTCCTTTATTGTGTAAAACATCAAAAACTGACCACTCAACAGAGTTTGTGGATGCTCCCAAGAATTCCTCAATCCTTAGCAGACCATGAGTATCCCCTAGACCCAATTTTAGTTTTTGAGGTTATTTCGTGAGTGGTTTTAACTATTTGTAAGGATTGATATTCACAACTTTTATTATTTATTGTAAATAATCCAAAGACCAAAGATAAGGTTTGCTTATGTTTTTAATATAGTAAAACTCATTCTATCTTGCAATTATCATAAGGGTACACTGGGACCTTTTATAAATCTAAAACATGTTCTGGAATCTTGGTTATCTTGTTTTTCCAATTCTTGCTTCATTTTGCTGATTCATCATCTTAGAAATTATTTCATTATTAATCACAGAGTATTCCCAACTACACTAAAAATTACTAAAATAACACAGAAAGAATGACAAGATCTCCCATAAGGAAGGGACAACAATTATCCTTCAGGTTTCATATTGTGACACCCAAAGCATTGCGTCATTTTTTTTTTTTTTAAAGATTTTATTTATTTATTTGAGAGAGAGAGAATGAGAGACAGAGAGCATGAGAGGGAGGAGGGTCAGAGGGAGAAGCAGACTCCCTGCCGAGCAGGGAGCCCGATGTGGGACTCGATCCTGGGACTCCAGGATCATGACCTGAACCGAAGGCAGTCACTTAACCAACTGAGCCACCCAGGCGCCCGCGTCATATTTTTTTTTTAAGATTTATTTATTGTGAGAGAGAAAGAAAGAGAGAGAGTGGGGAGGGGCAGAGGGAGAGGGAGAGATGGAATCCCAAGCAGACTCCATGCTGAGCACAAGCCCAATGCGGGGCCGATCCCATGAACCTGAGATCATGACCTGAACCTATACCAAGAGTCAGATGTTCAACCACCTAAGCCACCCAGGCGCCCCTCATTGCATCATCTTTTAAGAAAGTATCAAAAAAGAACTCTGGATGGACTCCAACCATCTTTGTGTTCTTTTGATTTTTGGTTAGCTTTCACTTAATACAGTTAAGGATTCAGAATTGTTCATTTTTTTTTACTTGAAACAGCAAAGGGAAGACAACTGATAAAGAAAGGTGCTCCCCAAGTATTAAAGAGAAAAGAGACACAGAACAGCACTCTAGACTCTAACTGTAATAGTGAAACTAACTATGTATTGAGATCTCAGATGGTGGGTCTTTAGATGACGATTACCTAGAGGAATTTTACTCAGATCTGACATTTATGAGTGAACAATATATTTCAATAGAGGCAAGGGCTTCATAATGCAGTGTTTTACAAGAACTTAGACCGTCCCATTTTGTGAAAAGGATAAATGATTCTTCTTTCATTATCTGTGATGTTTGCGTAAATTTTACTTGGGACTTTCCCTAAGTGGACAAATGCTGAAGGCAGATGTGTACTCAAAGGAGACAGATGATGCAGAAATGAAAAAAATCCATTGACTTAATGATTCAAATCTACAAGTAAAGATTTTGGCATTTATAATGCAAGAAAGATAGTGCTCCTCTCTTCAACAAAATTATGAGTGTCCGAGTTTTCAACAGTTTTGGGTTTTAACAATGCAAGTGCAAGAAAAATCAGAAGTAAGAATAAGCTAGAAGCTGTGGGAGATGGATTTGAAACCGGAAATCAGTGTTTACAGAATGGGTATGGTCCCGTTTGTGCATGACAGCTGATGAGCAGTTGGTTGTATCACCAGCGAGACCCTGGGACTTGACCTTTACCACCCACCTGCTTCTACTCACTCATCTTTCTCTTACATTTTTCCTTAAGCTCTTCTTTCTGGCTTACCTCTTAACTCAGCAAAGGAAACCCTAAACCACCCTTCAGGTGATGGCAACTGCCCTGACTGACAAGACCTCCCACCTGACCTGACGACCCAGACCTTTTGAGCTAAACCTCTGACTGGCGCCACTAATCTTCAGGGAAATGCAAATCCCCAGTGCAGATGGACCATGGAGGGACCTCTGGAAAGACCTACAATCACCTTTACCTCATTATAATACTAAAACTCAGCCCAAAGAGGAGCACAGCCTCATTTGCATAACATGCAATGTGTGATTAGGCATGTTTCCTTAAGGTGCATGTGTGACTTTATGCCCACCTCTACTAGGATGACAAAGCTTCCCTATCTAAACATTCATCCTAACCCTAAACAAAAGGAACCCATTCACGCATTCTTAGGGAGCCATGGCTTTGGAAGCCATCCCTTGTGATCTCCTATTTGCCGCAAATCAAGGGTTTTTTTGTGCAATAATTCAATCTGGTGCAGTTTCTGACTCACCAAGGAGTCAACTCACATTGGTTGGGCTCCAGTTGCATTCTGAAGTCAGTCTCCATTTTGTGTATGTATCTTCAAACCAGGGTGTTATGGAGTAAAAGTTTGGGTTTTCTCTGCTTAAATTCTTAAAATTACATTTTCTAAAAAAGTGCTTTTCACCATTCCCTTATTCTTACTTTTGCAAATTATTCATAAATTACTTAAAAATATAAAAAATAAAATAAAATAAAAGGGTCCATTGATCCAAATTGTAAATGAGGATGATTATTTTTCCTGGGACACTGAGGGTTAAAATAAAACACTGAGTCTCAGACTGAACGTGCAAAAGAGCTAACTAGAGAATTTATAAAAATGCAGGACCCAATCCCTGAGATTTTGATTTAGTAAATCAGGGCGAGGAACAGACACCTGCAGTTCTAATGCAACTGGTCCTTGGGTTAAGCTTAGTGAATGACTGCTTTGGAAAAAGAATACAAACCATGTATCCTAAAGTAGGCTGAAGCATTGATTTATGGTCAGATAATTTCTTGTTTATTTTGCAAAGATGTGTTATGACTTTGAAAGAAGTCAAGATAAAGTTCTTTTTTAAAGCCATGATCCTAATAAGCAAAAACCAGTTTTAATTTTGACCTTGAGGAAAGTTATATAAAATTCTGTTAAAATATAGTTACTTAAATCCTAGATCTACTTATTGTTTAAAATCAATGAAGCTCCTTGGCCTTCAATCCTGATGAATTTCTATGTCTACCCAAAAGGGAAGAGTACTTAGCATAAAGGTAGTAAGAAGGGTTGGAAAGCCAAGGATGGGTAATCCTCTAAATAAAAAATATATCCAAAATTGCAGTGCTTCTGCACAATAATGGACACTATTCAAAAATAGTGAAGAGAACAAAAGAAAGCACAGGCTAAATATAGGTCACAAACACTAGAATTTTTGCAATGTACTTTCCATTCCCCAAGAATATTTCTTTTATATGTGATGACTATGGATCCAGTGGGTCAGCAATAGCCAGGAATAAGGGAAATATTTAGGAGTGTTCTAAGGGAGGCTCTTCTCTGCATGATAAAGGATTTAATGATGACATGATTCTTCTAATGGACAGTATTTCATTATTTGCATGTAACACTTGCCCAATTTATACACTTACCTAGTTTTGTGTAAAACCTCATAATCAGTCACAGGCAATCCAAAAAGTTGTTCACCGGATGAATATGTAACAAACTTCCTCCACAGATCATCAAAATTGGCCTATAAAAAGATTTTTAAGTTGTAGTAAAATATAATTAATTCACATCCCATTAAAGTAGAATTTATTATAATTGGAATAAAAGCTACATTGAGGTTTATTTAATAATATCTATGAAACAAAGATTTGTGAAGAAATTTATAGTGATACCAAGGTATCAGAAGAAAAGTTGAGCACTTAGGAAAATTAACTTTCAAGCATTCTAAAAACATCCATAAAATTTTTTCTTTAATAAATTATGTGGTCCCCAGAAGACCTATACTTCAAGTTCCCATAAATATGTCTGAAAGCAATAAAACTGCATTTTTAAAAATCTATAATTTAGGCTTTTTCACTACTTTAGACTTGTCATCTCTTCTACAGGGTTCAAATGAGTGAGTATAATCTTTTTAACCCTGTTTTCCCTCCAAGCAATAAAGAGTCTATAAAATGAAGGATTCCATTTTAACACCATTTGAGAGAATTTTAACAATCTGAGTCAGGGAAGTTAAGGCCCATGCCCTTTGAATTGGAGGTAGAATCTCCTATACTTAGAATGATAAGTATGGAGCATGTTTAAAACACAAAAGCAAATAGAAATAATCCACCTGTGACAAGGTGTGTGGCTCAAAATAAGGGTATAACCTATCAATAAGGATCCTAAATTTCCAGCCCTGGAGAATGTCTGGCGTCAGACCTCACTATATTCAGATATTGAATCAGATTTGACAGCTAACGGGGGCATATTTTAGAGGAGCCAAATCAGGAAGGTGTGAAGACCCCAGAGAAACACCAAAGAATTCGTCCTTCCTAGAAACTAAAGGCCATATTTTGCACTTTTTATATTCCTTGGTGGTTAGGATAGTGGTTACTCTGTATGGTGACTAACATAACATAATAAAAAATAAATAAATAAAAATAAATAAATAAATAAATAAGTAAGTAAAATAAAGTTACTGACTAAAATGGCCATGGAACCATGTGAACACTAGAAAAGGAGAAACAAAAATGTTAAAGTTAGCATAATTTAAAACAGTGAGCTACAGAAAGCCTTTGTATGGCTTGATTTGCTGCAAAACATGGTATTCCTAGTAAAGAAGAAAACACTGGGTTTTGGACAACATCTCTGTACCTTCTGGTGGCTCGACCATGGAAGCTATCTGAGTATAAAGGCAGGCAGAAACTGGGGCCAGGTGAAGAAAAAGGTGACATCTAGAAGGGGGTGCAGGACAGACAGTTATGTTTCTTATTGTTACTTTAAAAAGGAAAGACACACAGCTTTTAAAATGTTGAGTGGGAAGATTTAGTGAAGAGGAAGAGGTTAAGAGTAAAGGAGAGAAACGGGTCAGTCTAAGAAGGGGTAAGGGAGAGTCAAGAGGCCCCAGGGACAGGAAGGGGAGCACATCTCTCTGAAATGTACATCACACACCCTAAATCATCTCTGTACATTTGGAGACAAGGTCATTTGTTCAAACTAATCTCAAAACTACTCCTCCCACACTTGTACTTCAGTAAATGACTCTACTTTCTTCTGTTTTCCCAAGCTGGAAGCCTCCCTCTCTTCCCCTCAGCCTATCAAGTTGGTCTTGTTAATAAACTCATGATCCATCCAGCTTTCTTCATTGCAAGTGCATTTGGTTGGTCTCAATCTTTACAATTTCTTGCTTGCATGACTGAAGCTGCCATCAGTCTGACCATCCTCCCTCCAAAGCATTCTCCAAACTAATGCCAGAGAAATCTTTCCAACATACAGCTATTTTAAAAATTCAAATGTGAACATATCATTCCTTGCTTAGAGCCCTCCAGCCCCAGGATAGGCTATGAGCTCCTTATCAGAGCCTACAAGGCCCTCACATTAGTGATTTCTGCCCTCTCAGCTGTCCCCTCCCTCATCCCTATCCTCTCTGCCCACTGTACCCCACATTTCACTCCTTCATCTCCCTAACTCTCCCTGCTTATCTCCTCATTTCTGGGCCTTTGTAGGAGGTGCAAATTCTGTCTAACTTGTTTTTCTTCCTTCTTCCCCTGGCTAACTCTAAATAGTCCTTCAAGATGCAGCTTAGATGGCTCCTCTTCCAGGAAGCCTTCTCTGGCTGCCCCCTCAGCTCCTATTTTGGTTGGTAACTCCCTACATCTGTTTCCATAACACTAGTTCTCACACCTAGATCATAGCGCTCACCACACAGTTTTGCAATTACTATCTATCCAGCTCTCTGTCTTCCTACCAGATTTTAGCAGCTTAGAGGTAAGAACCTTTCCTTAATCATTTTTCTATTGACCAAGACACACAGTAGGCATCTGATATTTTTTAATGACTACAAATGCACGTGGGATAGGGAACATAAAAAGAACACGAACATACAGTACAACCACTACAGAAAACAGGATAGAGAACTGAAACAAATAATAGAATTGCCTGATCCTCCTAGGGGCTAGCTTACATAGGAGTCCATGAATCTGCAAAACTCTAGATGTGCTCAGCAATCTGAGCACAGAAAAAGATGGTGAATCCAGTGAGTACTGTATAGTCCAGGGTAAGGCAAATGAGCTGGGAAGTTTAAAATCATGGATAGAAAAGGAATGGATACAGAGGAAAGATAGGGAAACCATTTGTCAATATTTTAAATCTTATTTTGATACATTTCGTTATTCCATGAATCTTTACCATTTATATGTAAATGAGATGCTTGGAACCAAAATAAGGTATACACTTAAGTTCAAAATCAAAGTCTTATTCTCTAAAAATACAGGGAGAAATTCTGTGGAGAAGAACACAAAGGGACACAAGAAAAGGAATCAATCACATTATTTAGCAGATTAGAATACAATTAAAATCTGTATGCACTTTAAACACTAACTTTTCCATTGTAAGGTAGACCACATAAATTTTTCCCTAAAATTACTTTAAAGAATAACAACACATTGTCGACATAGTCGACAAGTTTTACCTGAAATATCTGTAGCCTGTTACTAGCTTCTTGGGGTGGAATATTTGGAACCATCGGTCCTTCCTGTAATTAATAATATAATCTCCATTTAAATTCTTAATCACATGTATTTATCAATTTATTGAGTTTATGTATTATTTCCTTTTAAATAAGTAAACATTCTTTTAAATTGAAATGATCTAATTTTGTCCCACATATGAAGCTTTCATTTAGTTTCTGTAACAGCTTTATTGAGATATAATTCACATATTATACAATCTCCCATTTAAAATGGACAATTTAATGGCTTTTAGTATAGTCACAGCGTTGTGTAACCATGTCCACAATCAATTTTAGAACATTTGCCTCACTCCAACTTCCATTCATTTTTAAAGGACCATGACATTGTTAATAAAAACTGTGCCAAAATTACATCCTGTAGGAAATCTGTACCACTAGAGGTCTGTTTCATTTCACTTATGACCACAAACAATGATGCTGTGCTTGTGTATTAGAATAACTGAGATAGAGTTCTGAAAACAGCCTCCTTTCACTGTTTGTTCAGCCTAATATGGAAATAGAGGAGCACAAAGTTGAATAGTTGGCTGAAGCAAAATGCAGTCTCTGGTGGCTATCATCCAGAACAGTTGCAAAAAGGACCCCAGATGGTCTGTACAATCCTGAATATTATGGATATGCTAAATAATAGACTAGATTCCCAGTATAATGGAATGATAGGGCCATAAAACGTTGACAAATCCAACTAAAAGAGGTAAGTTTAGTACATGTAAAAAAAAGTGTGTTATATGATTATTATTATTAAGGGCTTAACATGTCTTATGAATCCAGACCCACTATGACCACTAAAAGAAAGTAGCATATGTTAGGGGAATATATCCAACTTCTGAGTTTAACTTCAAAGAGGAGGATCATTATCAGTCATGTTACCAGGCTGAATAGTCTGCGGGACTGACCAGGTGTGACATTTATTATTTATTTTCAGTGATCCTTCTGGTTCTCTAAGAGTTAGTGAAAAAAAGATCATTTGCATAATACCCTGGTATTTAGGTTTGTATAGGTTCTTATAGCCTTCCAACAACTGTATTACATTTTCAACTATGAGCATTCTGGCCTGAGAAAGAAAGCATAAGGCCAGACCTTTTGTTCCTTCCACAATCTCAAAAGTTCTACCTCCTTTTAACAGTTAAATCTTCTTTCTTATTCTGTAAAATAAGTTTAAAGGATTAGCTATCCCCTTTTTTTCCTGATTGCTCCAAATATTAAATACAGCCTCTTATATACAATATGCAAATCGCAGTGTATTTCTCAACATCCATCACTGTCATCTCATATAAACATGCCACAGAACATTTTAACACACAGCATGCAAATACTTAGATTACCGTCTCATATGATTCTGCGAAGTTCATTACATCCTCACGAAAGACTTCCACAGCCTCAAGAAGACTACTTTTAAACTTTGGCTGCACTTGAACTAGTTCATCTTGCACAGAAACCTAGAATAAAAGAGAATACCCAATGTGAGATGTATTTATTTATTTTGGGTTTTTTGGTTTTTGGGTTTTTTTAAAGATTTTATTTATTTATTTGACAGAGAGAGACATAGCGAGAGAGGGAACACAAGCAGGGGGAGTGGGAGAGGGAGAAAGAGGCTTCCGGTAGAGCAGGGAGCCCAATGCGGGGCTCAGTCCAGGACCCCGGGATCCTGACCTGAGCTGAAGGCAGACACTTAACGACTGAGCCACCCAGGTGCCCCGTGAAATGTATTTAAATGAAAATGTATTTAAATGAAAACTGTAATTCTGTCCCAGCAAGTTTGTTATCCTGCAGATGTCCAGGATGAACAAGGGTGTCTCTGCAATGCTGCTTAAAAAAACAAACAAACAAGGGAAATAACAACCCAAATGCACCAAAAGGAGATACAAATCATTCCAGTTCATGACCCAAGAGGCAAAGCCATCTTCTGTAACTGCAGTTCGGAAAAAGTTTTCTGTCTGATCCAGCTCAGGTCATCACTATGGCCAGGGAAACAGTTACTGCTATAGGCCCCATCTGGGTCACATGCCATCTCTGAGGCCAGATGAAGGTCTGGGATTAGTAATCTCTAGTAGGTTCACATGGTTGGAACAGTCACCTTAAAGAAAGTGATATTACTCCGGGTATTAAAAAAAAAACAGTGAATGCCTTCCATAACAGTCTTCAAAGCTTCTGCTCAAACCTTCAATTGTAATAGTTAGCATTTAATGCATATTTACTATCCACCAGGCTTTTCACCTATATTAACTCATTTAATCCCCAGGACAACCCTGTGTGGTAAATGCTGATACTATACTCATTTTACAGGTGAGAAAACTGAGGCACGGAGACACTAAGGAACTTCCCCAAAGTCCCAGCATCATCATGAGGCAAGGTCAAGATTCAAAACCTGGTTGTTTGGTTCCAGGGCCCCCGCTCTTAGCTGTTCACAACAATAGCATCTATCTAGGTTGGAACATGGGTTGCTTTCCGATTAATGGTGATTGTAGTAAAGGATGGGCCAACAGGTTTAACATTACAGTTAAAGAGACAGAACAACCCAAGTGGGGTGCCTGGGTGGCTCAGTTGGTTAAGCAGTCGCCTTCGGCTCAGATCATGATCCCAGGGTCCTGGGATCGAGTCCCGCGTCGGACTCCTTGCTCAGCAGGGAGCCTGCTTCTCCCTCAGCCTGTCGCTCCGCCTGCTTGTGTGTGCACTCTCTCTCTCTGACAAATAAATAAATAAAATCTTTAAAAAAAAAACAACCGGAGTGAATCTTTTCCACTGAACAATAACAGAAAGTTGGGCTTCACTAAATCTCAACAGAGGGTTCTCCGTTTCCTTCCCAAGATGCACTTTTCTGTCTAAAACAGCAACTGTTTTTTAAAATAAGTGATTAGTCAATATTGAGCATGAACGTAAATAAACATGAGTATGAAAAAAGCGTTTTATACACATTACCTCAAGGGAGCCTCATAACCATGTATAAAAAAATTCCTAATGTATTCCTAAATGATCACATGAAGAAATTGAGAAAAAAGGTTATTAAGTTGCATAATATCACCCAATTGGCTGGTGGCAGAGCTGGGATCACAAGTCATGACCCCAATTTCAGCTCTGGGTCCTTGCTAGTCTGCCTTGCTTCAATCTCAGTGACAAATCTCTTCATAAACAAAAAGTTTTAAGCCAACATTTAATTAATATTCAATAAAAATTTTCACTGTAATTAAAGAATCTGGACCCTCCCT